GAGTTTCAAAAAAACACGATAAGCTCTCGCACTTGTGCCTCAAGTACTCAAACTGTTGGGGTGGGGATGAAGGTTTGAATATTGGTGGAGTGAATGCAAAAGCCCAAAAGTGTGTAAGTGTCTCACACACACACACACACACACACACACACACACACACACACACACACACACACACACACACACACACACACACACACACACACACACACACACACAAACACCCACGCACGACGTGCAGGCACCTTATGCGCCTGTCCCCTGGGTATGGTGAGGGTGTCCATGTCATCGGTCATCTGGTTGGCGAGATACGCGTCCTCCGGCACCTTTGACGGCGGCATTGACGGATCGGGAGCAAGACCGCCGTACATGCGCGGCAGCTGCGATCTAAGACGGACGGAGGGGGGGGGGGGAGGGCACAGGTTTCGGGTGTTGGGGTTGATGGCGTGTGTGTGTGTATGTGTGTGTGTGTATGTGTGTGTGTGTGTATGTGTGTGTGTTTATTGGCTCGGGTGAAAACAAGGAACAGACAGACAGCCAGGCAGGTAGACAGACAGACAGGCAGACAGACACAGCACACGTGCGCAAAGGCTGAGACTCACTCGTCCATAAACTCCGAGAGAAACTGGCTTGGTTTCCCGCGAACAATCATAATCTGACACGCGTGGTGGAGTGATGGTGACGGTTGTGAGCAGGACGAAAGCTCGCGCCAATGGTGAGATCAGTACATGCAAAGGCACTGGTAGATGCAGGCAGACATACAGACACACAAACACGAGCACAGAGACACAGACACAAGAGACACAGACACAGACACAGACACACAGAGACACAGACACACAGACACGAGCACAGAGACACAGACACAGACAATGACACGCACACACACACACACACTACACTACACTACACACAGACACACAGACACACACACCGCCGTCCCCACCTTCCTGCGGGTGCGCTCCCTGAGAAACGGTTTGACGAGGGACCAGCACATGCCGATGATGGTGGGCGGGTTGATGATGATCATCTTGCGAAGGATCTGCGGGTAGTTGGCGTTGCGAAGGTGCGTTGTCTGCTCATTGTCGGGGCGGGAGAAGGAAGGAGGGAGGGAAACAGAACAGCATGTTTTGAGGTGATGGTGATGGTGGTGGTTTGTACGAGGAACATGGTGCACTGGTAAGACGATTTCTTGCATATGCCCACGGACACACACAGATACACAGCGATAGACGAAGACGCAGACGCAGACACACACACACAGATGCACAGACAGACACACAGACATACAGGCACACAGATACACACACAGACACAGACACACACACACACACACACAAACAGACAGACACAAACACACGCAGACACGTTAGCACAGTGTCTGACCTCCATGACCATGTTGATGAGCGGTTTCTGCATTGAGCGCAGGGACCAACCCGTCATATCCTGAACAACAATGAACTTGTCAATCAGCCGGTTGTGCTTCTCCGACTGAACGCGAACATGAACATGCATGCGTGCATACACACACGTGCACACATGGTGAGTTGAGGTGGAGATGGCGTGGTGATGGTGATGAGACAGTGCGATGGTGGATGGATGGATGGTGATTGAAGCAGAGCGCAAAGGCAAAACCGCATGCGCGCACACAAACACAGACACTCACGCACACATGCACACAAGCACACAGACACACACATACACACACAAACACAGAGACACACAGACAGACCCCCCACACACACACCTGTTGCCTGAGCTTGTCGTAGACTTGTTCCATGAAGACCATTCCGTGATACCGCGCAACATCCTCCACCCGACACGCCCTGACCGCAGTGATCGTGTTGGTGGTGGTGGTGGTGGTGTGAGGGGGATTCAGGACTGGAGTAAAAGCGTGCATGCGCACAGGCATGTAGAGAAAGACAGCGACCTAAACAGCCAGAAACAGCATACGGATGCACACACACACACACACACACACACACACACACACACACACACACACACACACACACACACACACACACACACACACACACACACAC